ATAAAATGATAAAAATGCATATTTGCTATAAAATGGGTAGGTTTAGGTTTGGGGGCAGGTTAAGGGGTCTAAAAAATCTAAATTGCGTATTTATAAAATGATAAAAATGCATATTTGCTATAAAATGGGTAGGTTTAGGTTTGGGGGCAGGTTAAGGGGTCTAAAAAATCTAAATTGCGTATTTATAAAATGATAAAAATGCATATTTGCTATAAAATGGGTAGGTTTAGGTTTGGGGGCAGGTTAAGGGGTCTAAAAATCGAAATCGCTTATTAATAAAATGATAAAAATGCATTGATATGAATATCTAAATGATATAAAAGATACGTAAATATTTTTACGTTTTTTAGCTAAAAATACGTAGCGATTTGTACGTTTTAAACGTTGAAATACGTCTAAATTGTACGTTTTAGCATGACTAAAAACGTACAAAAGTGTACGTTTTGTGCTTGTAAATGTTACGTATTTATACCTACGTATAAACATGAGACCAGGCTGGGTAATCTCTCTTAAATATGCCATAGACTACAACGATCCTGATGAAGATGGAAAACAAGATCTCGCTCTGGACCACACAGACACTGGTAAAGATTTCACTGTGTGATTATATGCACATTTACGGTATGAAATACTGTACGAACTGTCATTTTCTTTCCTTCCAGAGTCGTATGAAAGGATGACAGGGCCAGACTGTCTATACAACAACAGACTTCACAGCAGCCCATGGCACCACGGAGGACGGTGAGTGAGTGTTTTTTATGTGTTGAAGACATGCGTGTCTCTTTACATGTGATTAAGTATGTGTGTAAACGCTTGTTTCAGATTCATATGAGCAGATGAATGGAATCCCAGTCTCGTTCCAGACAGAGATGGATGTGAATGAAAGAGATGCAGAGAAATGGACAACTGCAGTCAAATTGCAATTAAAAGAGAGAAACTGAGAATTTATTTTAAAAATGTAAACCTTGGAGAGCAGCTACTGGATGAACGCTTAGATAATAAATAGCCTATATCAATTATATAATTGTAAAAACATTGTCTTGATAGGAGATGGTGATGCCGGGAGTGGACGCGTCTCTGATCCTGGCCCTCAGACAGCCCATGGCTCTTGACAGAGGCCAAAGGTTCACGCTCAGAGATTTTGAACTTGAAATCAAAATGGTTTATTTACTTGCTTCATTGGCTTTTAGGGCACAATTCATCACTGTGAAGAAACAATGACACACAACCCACGTTTCACTCTCCAACCAAATCCTGAATTTCACTCGAAATTTCGCATGGCAGAATTTTAAAAAGTTGCGAATTTCCTCTCGCATTTTTTTATTTATTTTTTAACCTTGAAATATACGTTTTTGCCTTCTGTTTCTTTCTTTTGGCCCCCTTAAGCGTCTGTTCTGGGTGTTTGTAAGTTTGGTGAGCGAATTCCCGTGAAACGGGCGGACTGCTTTATGGCAGCAACAAATGCACGTGTCCCCCTCGGTCCGTTCGCTGTGGGGCCCGGTGCGACCGCACCAGTTGCACCCCCCTAAGGACGGCCCTGAGTTTAGCTAAGGCAATAGGAAGTCTAGTAGGTTACACCAGTGTCCGTTCTTTCACTGCATGATTCAGTTTATTAAAATGCATCACAAAATTCAAGTTATGGGGGCAGAAATGTATATATTTATATCATTTCATATAGTTAATCAGTATCATGCGAAGACTGACATTTTTCCACCAAAAAGCAGCATGGTTACTGTAGAAAATTGGAAGGAATATTAGGCTGGTTTGGCTATTGCTACCGGAATGGTGAGTCCATTAAAACTCATTCAGTCATCAATCTCATGTTTCCAGTTTATTTTCTCAACATGTGGTAGGAGTAGACATTTCCATTGGTCACAAGTGCAGGTAATTGTTGATTTATTGTCAACAACACAACAATTCCACACAGGCCATGTATGAGTAGAGAGACGGCTTCTCACACACAAACACATTGAGACTGAGGCTTGATTAGAAAGAGGCCACAGGTGTTCTCATCAGGACTCAGTCAACCAATCAGATCACAGCAGAATTTTCTACAGTTACAAATGTGATATTGATTTTATACAGCAGTTCAACAAACAAGAATTTAATATTAAGATACGTTTTAGACACAATATTGACTGTTTTTGCTCCATTTCGCCAACAAATATAATTCCAATTTGCATCTCTGAGCAACATGACCTGAACAAGTTTTGTTTCTGAATGAATCAACCATTTAAATGATTTGGTTCAATAGCAATGACTCACTTATTAACAGTGACTTGCTTGCCACCTTCTGGCAGTTTTAATTATAGATTTAAAGTTTATTTTCGTTTAAAAAAATTAATAAATTCAAATATCAGTATTCAACGTTTCATGTTTAAAATATCAAAACAGTATTAATGCATTTGTAACTGCAGGTTAAATACATTCATGGCCTGCATTAAACAGTGTATAAATGCATCAAAATGCCCCTTCTAATGCAGCTTCTGTGTTTTCTCTGCATTGCACAGATTAATTTTGTCAGTACTGATTTCAGTTGCTTGGCAACAGCCCACATGACTTGTTATTCTAATTGACTGATGCAATTTAAGAATTTGACTGAAAAGATGATGCACACTTTAGAAATGGCTTTATAAAGGTAAAAATGCCCATAAAAGGTAAAAATCAATTTAAACTTATTGGAAAAGATTAATTTCTATCACTGCTGTGAACTGATCACCACACAGAATATGAAGAATATCAAAAACGTTAGGAGTCAGCTGTCCACGGTAGTCCTTAAGATATCAGCACAATAACACACTCAGCAAAATATAATCATCGTTATCGATAAAATCCCAGAAAATATTGATATGTTTTTGTCAATATCGCACACCCCTAATATATTTAACGTGTTGATTAGGAAAAATGTAAATTAAAATAAATATGAGAAGTGCCCTTTTTTCCACTTGAGCCCCTGCCCCTCAAAATGTCTGTGCACGTCCCTGAAAGTCACAAAAAATAGGCCTACACTAAAATACCTACAGTTGCTTTTAAGATGTTCTGTTCAAACTGCTTTTAGCTGATACGATCTGGGTGGAGAAAAATATATATTGCATTTAGAGATAAACTGGTAAATATCACAAAAATGTCAAGCAATGCCCTGGTCATATATTACTTCAAAATTTAAATGTATTACTTCTACATAATTAATGCAATTATTTGAATAGAATTAATTACATATTTATATGATTTTTCATATTTATATGAAATTACATCACAGTAGTAATTTTTTAATGCATTGGTTTTTTTTTGAAGTCTCGATTTTAACATATGACCATGACGTTTCTTTGTGAAATTCACCATCGGGGTTGCAATCGTCAAGAACTTCCTAAACATTATTTATTGTTTTATTGCTGTAATAATATTCAAGTAAATGTCACAATAAAGACTTCATGAATGAGTTTACTGTCACAAAGCAAATTCAAACAGATTCAGAACAGACCTAGCTTTTTCATAATTTTGCCTTCTTACACACAATCATTCACCATCACCCTCAAATGTTTTGATTTAAACATCGCACTTTAAAGCAATAACTTGAACATTCGAAAAATTGGCTTCTCAGTGTTACTACAACATGTTTGACACCACCTCAAAAATATATAATAGTCGCGACTTAAATTATCACTGTACATTTTTTCTCGTTGAAAGGTGGTTAAATGCAAAGCAGACACAAGGCTGAGTCTACAGATCTATTGAATACATTTTATTACATTTTTTAGACAGATGCCCGGAAAACAGACAGCAAAAGAGCCCAATGTGTGTCTGTAGATGAGCAGCATGGAATGACAAGCCAAGTACAGTTTAAATTTGGAAACTTTCCGCAAATGTACTGGTTTTCACTTTGTGAATAATTGACAGCTGAGATGAGAGAGGATAATGAAAGCAGAGCATGTTTCGAACATTGTGATGTGCTGAAATGGACGCAAATTGTTCCACATTTCTAATCTGAGTGATACGTTACTTGCTTCTTCATGTAGAAAATTGGTGGGCACATTTTTAAGGGTTTGCAAAGACATCAGCAATCAGGACAAAGACATCCTCCTTAGCAAACAGATTTAATTTTGCAATATAAACAGGGCCACAATTCAATTCTAGAGTGACATTTCTAGAACTTCAGTCCAAAAAGGCTTCGGACACCAGAGTCTCAAAGAGTTTCCTCTTTTCCTGTCGTCTTTCTCAGCCCCAGTTGTATTTGTCGTCCTCTGTCACGGGGAGGATTTCTGTGACCAGGCCCGTGCCGATAGTTTGGTTGCCGTCTCGGAGCGTGAACCTTTGGCCTCTGTCAAGAGCCATGGGCTGTCTGAGGGCCAGGATCAGAGACGTGTCCTCTCCCGGCATCACCATCTCCTATCAAGACAAGAGACAGAGAGAATTTAGAGCAAACATTTCTGGTGCTGATATATTCAGTATTTGCACAGCTAAAACGTACCTTCCCCGGAAGCAGCTCTACTATACAAGCCATGTCCCAGGTGTGAGAGAACATGATCGGCATGAAGTTTGTGCAGAACGGCTTGTGTCTGCCGCCCTCCTCTTTGCTCAGGAGGTAGACCTGAAGACAAAGAGTTTAAATGATTGATTGGCTTGTGAATTAGCACAGAGCTGCTGAACTGCTGTTTATGGTTTTAAAACTCACACACCTGAGCTTTGACCTTCTGGTGTGGCTGGATGGATCCCGGTTTGCACATCACCATGCCTCTCCTGACGTCCTCCCTCTTCAGACCGCGAACCAGAGCGCCCATGTTATCACCCGCCTCCGCCCGTTCTAGAGACTGATGGAACATCTCGATACCTGAGGGAACGAGCAAGAAACACAGACAAACAGTTGAATTTCTGTGTAAAGTCGAATCATATCCCTCTTGGACCCCAAAATCCTTGGAGCCTAATCTCTTAGTTATTCCCATTTATGAGAAATCCTCATCATTTGTTGATGTAGTGAAAATGTCAGTGTATTTTAAAACGCATATGGAACAAAAACCAAAGCAACAAACTAAATTTGTAATAATATTTTTTGTTGTTTTAATATTAATTCTATACTATTATAGTATGTAATGTTTTGAATTAGCATTTACTTATATACTTTCAGTTTAAATTGTAATTTTTTGAAATTTTGTTGTGCTTTTGTCATTTATTAGATTTTTTTATATATATATATATATTCTATTAAGCTTGAAATCATTTGCATTTCAGTTTTAGTTTGAACAATAACCTTACTTTATTTCAGTTAGTTGCCAAGAAAACATTTTTTTATTTTCTTCTATGTTATTATTATATTTTAAAACACATATCATAGAACATCTGAGGCAACCTTTTAAACATATGAATAATATTTTTGGTAATTTAGTATTACTTACATAGTATTATAATATTTTAAATGAGCTTTTAGTTTGATATTTTCGGTTTTCATTTTAAATATAGTTTAAACTTTAGTAATTTTATGTGCTTGTCATTGTCGTTTTATTTGTTTTTTTGTTAAATTTCTATTCAGCTTTAAATTATTTTTATTTCAGTTTTAGAACATCAGCTTAAACTTATTTAATTTCAGTTAGTTGCCAAGGAAACAATTCTAAACTTTTTACCTAAAAGTTTATTTTATTATTATAGTTTAAACGTATATATAACACAACAACTAAAGTTACTTAAAAAAACACGTAATAATAATAATTATTATTATTAGGGATGCACCGATACCACTTTTTCCAGTACTCACCCGATACCGATACTTTTATTTTTGGTACTTGTCGATACAGAGTACCGATAACAATATTTTCATTGCATTTGTAGATTTTTTAAATATTGGGTACAGAAACCAAAAGGGTATGTATAATGTTAGTTGGTTAACTTAATTTATCAAATAGATAGTCAAACCAAAATTTATTCAGACACCTTCAACATTTCTCACATTATCACAGTTCATTCGCTATAGTTTAGAAAATGGTAATAAAATATGACAAGAACTCTGACTTAAACTGTCAGAACAAATTCAGCTTGATAATGTCAGATAACTTTGATAAAAAAGGTATGTAATGGATTACAATCAACCAAAAATTATTCATACAGCTGTCAATATTTACACAACTTTGTCGGGTGACCCTTAGCCTTAATGACAGCCTGTAGTCTCCTGGGCATGCTGTCACCCAGCTTCATGCAAACCTGAACTTCAATTTTTTCCCAGACTCGGTCTGAATAATTTTTAGTCCCAAATTTGTATCAATTTTACTGGTAGTCCACTGTACGAAGAATTTTTGGGTATAATTTGTCACAGTTTAGTTTATTTTGCTATCCTCACTTACATCTGGTCACGACATCTGGTCTCTGAATAATTTTTGGTTTGACTGTATATCCTTCTGTTATTTTCACACTTAATTATGCCCATTAAAATGTATTTTACATATTTTTGTTACTTTCACTGTTCTTTTTTTTTTATCTCTATGGTAGCCTACATCATCTTTAATTTAATAATTTAATAGAGCTGCTCCATTGCAGCGGCTTAGTACTGTAATCACGCGCTTTGCTGTAAAAATGCAGGGAACCACTCGCTATAAATCTCCTAACAGTGATATTTTCATAAATAGAAGTCGCGTTTTTTCATCTGAAACGTGCAGCGATTTATTTTCCAAGGCCACTCATATAATGCAGAAACACTCATGAAGCAAGCAAAACACGCACACGTATTTGTAGGCTACTGGTGCAGAATGAGAGGGACAAGTACAGAACAGCCTAGTGTATTTCACACAGGATGTTAGTTTCACTTTCGCCAGAAAGTCGTATATGCTTAAGTGTGAAAATAAATGACGTTTATAGTAGGGATGCACGATATATCGGCCACCATATCGGTATCGGCCGATAAATGCTAATTTTTTTCTGTTATCGGTATCGGCCTGATAAGAAAATTTGGCCGATATCTTAAAGCCGATAAATAATGCATTATTTCCTTCAGAGACACTTCAGATGCGCGCTGTTCGTTTGCAGCCTTTTGTGCAATTGTACATTGTAATATTGTGTTTATTTGATGTATATCTGATTTATCTCATATAGAATGCGTTTGGTTAAGTTAAAAAGAGCGCTTCAGTTTACCGGTGATCATCTTTAGCTCAGCACACGCAGCTCAAACAGCAGTGCACAACATTAATAACTATGATTGGGAATGTCGTGTATATAAAATTCTAATGAGAACATTATTATAATAAAACATTGTGAATTCTTTGGGTTTAGTTGCCATGTTTCAGCGCGTTGTTATGGGAAGAGCGCATCCACAACAGGATCACACATTCTGACTATAGCATGCAATAACTGCGTCATTTTGTACATATATAAGTTGTAATATTATGTTTATGTTGTATTAATATTAATCTCAGGATGCATTTCCTTGAGTTAAATAAGCTGCCAGCAAAACGCTTCAGTTTACCATGTTCATTCAGCTCTTCAGCTTCAGCACGCGCAGCTCAACGGCTGCTATTTAAAACAGTGGTATTAATTTGTTACTTTTTCAAAATCATTGATACATTATTAATAACAACAACCACTTGTATTGTTCTCTTATTATTTTCATCAACAATATGGTTTAGTAATTAAAATCATTTAATTATTGTCCGTGCAGAGGCTATTCCGTTTTATTGATCTATGGCGCATTCATTTTGATTCTTTACACGTGTAATGATGTCCAGTGACTTGTTTGCATTATTTATGCATAATTTTATTTATTTGTAAGACTTTTTTATGACTAAATTTGGTAATGGGAGAGTAAAAATATTTTTAAAACGTACACCGTTCAAACTAGGCTGCTTATGTTGAAGTGTTTGGGAATGAATTCATTCAATTTCAGGCATTCACTTTTAAATATGTTAATACATTGAACAAAATATTTTCTCTAATAACACATTCAAATACTAAATGGTGTTATTTTTTGCATCACAACATAAAGAGAATCAATTATGTTCAATGTAAGATCCATACCAAATACATTAACCATATTTTGCACATTGAAGTACTGCCTATTAAGATGACATGCATGTTTATGCATCGAGCAGGAAATATTTTCTCACCAGTGATGATGGACTTAAAGCAACGATTGTGTCCGAGAAATTCACATTCATCTCCTTTCTTGATCATTCCTCGCTCTAGTGTGCCAGTGACCACAGTACCACGACCTGCACACAAGATTCATACAGTTAATTCAACCCAGTCAAACACACAAACATAAAAAAAATTCATTCATTTCAGAGACGAAGCAAAAAAGCACAACTTATCACACAAATACAACATCTGCACTACCTCAAGAAGAAAACACACCTGGAATAGAACAGACTCCCTCTACGGGCAGCAGGAATGGTTTATCCAGATCTCTCTTTGGCAAAGGAATATGATTATCTACCACCTCCAAAAGTTTCATAATGGAGTTTACACCAAGCTCCGGCTGGCTGTTCTGAACGCACACAATCATAACAGCAGCACTGAAATTTGTGATTTAACACAGTTCAAAACACATCATTCCATTGCCTGTGCATACACATAGATTACAATTTAAACAAACTGTCTTCCGTTTGAATACTTTTTAAATATAATTTATTCCTGTGATCAAAGCTGAATTTTCAGCATCATTACTCCACTCTTCAGTGTCACATGATCCTTCAGAAATCATTCTAATACGCCGAGTTGCTGCTCAGTTCTTAGTAATTATTATTGGTGTTCAGTGACTAGTTGTTACAATATTTCAGCATTTTTAGTTTCTTTTTCAGGAAACATAATTAAATCACTCCATCGCTATCCTCACCTCTAGAGCACAGAGTGCCGATCCAGTAATAACTGGTGTGTTTTCACCGTCGTAGCCGTACTCTGTGAGCAGCTCTCTGATCTCCAGCTCCACCAGGTCCAGCATCTCCTTGTCCTCCACCACATCGGCTTTGTTAACGAACACCACAACGTGCTCCACGCCGATCTGCCGCGCCAGCAGGAGGTGCTCACGCGTCTGTGGCATCTGACCGTCGGTCGCCGCCACCACTAGGATGCAGCCGTCCATCTGAGATGTGCCTGTGATCATGTTCTTCAGACAGAGACGCGCTTTTATAACACAGATGTAATGATAATGTATGTGCACACAACACTGTTGGGTCAGTAAAATTATTTTGAATGTTTTTAAAATAAGTCTCTTATGCTCACCAAGGCTGCATTTATTTGAAAACAGTAATATTGTGAAATATCATTCATTACCATTTAAAATAACTGTTTTCTATGTGAATACATTTTAAAATGTAATTTATTCCTGTGATCAAAGCTGAATTTTCAGCATCATTACTCCACTCTTCAGTGTCACATGATCCTTCAGAAATCATTCTAATACGCCGAGTTGCTGCTCAGTTCTTAGTAATTATTATTGGTGTTCAGTGACTAGTTGTTACAATATTTCAGCATTTTTAGTTTCTTTTTCAGGAAACATAATTAAATCACTCCATCGCTATCCTCACCTCTAGAGCACAGAGTGCCGATCCAGTAATAACTGGTGTGTTTTCACCGTCGTAGCCGTACTCTGTGAGCAGCTCTCTGATCTCCAGCTCCACCAGGTCCAGCATCTCCTTGTCCTCCACCACATCGGCTTTGTTAACGAACACCACAACGTGCTCCACGCCGATCTGCCGCGCCAGCAGGAGGTGCTCACGCGTCTGTGGCATCTGACCGTCGGTCGCCGCCACCACTAGGATGCAGCCGTCCATCTGAGATGTGCCTGTGATCATGTTCTTCAGACAGAGACGCGCTTTTATAACACAGATGTAATGATAATGTATGTGCACACAACACTGTTGGGTCAGTAAAATTATTTTGAATGTTTTTAAAATAAGTCTCTTATGCTCACCAAGGCTGCATTTATTTGAAAACAGTAATATTGTGAAATATCATTCATTACCATTTAAAATAACTGTTTTCTATGTGAATACATTTTAAAATGTAATTTATTCCTGTGATCAAAGCTGAATTTTCAGCATCATTACTCCACTCTTCAGTGTCACATGATCCTTCAGAAATCATTCTAATACGCCGAGTTGCTGCTCAGTTCTTAGTAATTATTATTGGTGTTCAGTGACTAGTTGTTACAATATTTCAGCATTTTTAGTTTCTTTTTCAGGAAACATAATTAAATCACTCCATCGCTATCCTCACCTCTAGAGCACAGAGTGCCGATCCAGTAATAACTGGTGTGTTTTCACCGTCGTAGCCGTACTCTGTGAGCAGCTCTCTGATCTCCAGCTCCACCAGGTCCAGCATCTCCTTGTCCTCCACCACATCGGCTTTGTTAACGAACACCACAACGTGCTCCACGCCGATCTGCCGCGCCAGCAGGAGGTGCTCACGCGTCTGTGGCATCTGACCGTCGGTCGCCGCCACCACTAGGATGCAGCCGTCCATCTGAGATGTGCCTGTGATCATGTTCTTCAGACAGAGACGCGCTTTTATAACACAGATGTAATGATAATGTATGTGCACACAACACTGTTGGGTCAGTAAAATTATTTTGAATGTTTTTAAAATAAGTCTCTTATGCTCACCAAGGCTGCATTTATTTGAATATTAATTTGTTACTTTTTCAAAATCATTGATACATTATTAATAACAACAACCACTTGTATTTTTCTCTTATTATTTGCATCAACAATATGGTTTAGTAATTAAAATCATTTAATTATTGTCCGTGCAGATGCTATTCCGTTTTATTGATCTATGGCGCATTCATTTTGATTCTTTACACGTGTAATGATGTCCAGTGACTTGTTTGCATTATTTATGCATTATTTTATTTATTTGTAAGACTAAATTTGGTAATGCGAGAGTAAAAATATTTTTAAAAATGTACACCGTTCAAACTAGGCTGCTTATGTTGAAGTGTTTGGGATGTGGATTTTAATGATGAGACCTTTTTTGTAATCAGGCTCTCAAAAAGTATATAACAATTTGTATATAACAAATTTCTCACCAGTGATGATGGACTTAAAGCAACGATTGTGTCCGAGAAATTCACATTCATCTCCTTTCTTGATCATTCCTCGCTCTAGTGTGCCAGTGACCACAGTACCACGACCTGCACGCAGGATTCAACCCAGTCAAACACACAAACATAAAAAAAATTCATTCATTTCAGAGACGAAGCAAAACAAATTTCTCACCAGTGATGATGGACTTAAAGCAACGATTGTGTCCGAGAAATTCACATTCATCTCCTTTCTTGATCATTCCTCGCTCTAGTGTGCCAGTGACCACAGTACCACGACCTGCACGCAGGATTCAACCCAGTCAAACACACAAACATAAAAAAAATTCATTCATTTCAGAGACGAAGCAAAAAAGCACAACTTATCACACAAATACAACATCTGCACTACCTCAAGAAGAAAACACACCTGGAATAGAACAGACTCCCTCTACGGGCAGCAGGAATGGTTTATCCAGATCTCTCTTTGGCAAAGGAATATGATTATCTACCACCTCCAAAAGCTTCATAATGGAGTTTACACCCAGCTCCGGCTGTCTGTTCTGAACGCACACAATCATAACAGCAGCACTGAAATTTGTGATTTAACACAGTTCAAAACACATCATTCCATTGCCTGTGCATACACATAGATTACAATTTAAACAAACTGTCTTCCGTTTGAATACTTTTTAAATATAATTTATTCCTGTGATCAAAGCTGAATTTTCAGCATCATTACTCCACTCTTCAGTGTCACATGATCCTTCAGAAATCATTCTAATACGCCGAGTTGCTGCTCAGTTCTTAGTAATTATTATTGGTGTTCAGTGACTAGTTGTTACAATATTTCAGCATTTTTAGTTTCTTTTTCAGGAAACATAATTAAATCACTCCATCGCTATCCTCACCTCTAGAGCACAGAGTGCCGATCCAGTAATAACTGGTGTGTTTTCACCGTCGTAGCCGTACTCTGTGAGCAGCTCTCTGATCTCCAGCTCCACCAGGTCCAGCATCTCCTTGTCCTCCACCACATCGGCTTTGTTAACGAACACCACAACGTGCTCCACGCCGATCTGCCGCGCCAGCAGGAGGTGCTCACGCGTCTGTGGCATCTGACCGTCGGTCGCCGCCACCACTAGGATGCAGCCGTCCATCTGAGATGTGCCTGTGATCATGTTCTTCAGACAGAGACATGCATTTATAATACAGATGTAATGATCATGTATATACACACACACACACAATAATGTTGGGTCAGTAAGATTTTTTTTTATGTTTTAAAAGGGTCCTATTATTCTCTTTTAACAAAGTCTTGATTTTGTTTTTGGGGGTGTAGAACAGGCTCTCATACTAGGTTGTTCGAAAAACACATTTTTCACATATTTTACATTATTACAACACCTCTCTCCCCAGTCTGGCATGAACGGCTCGAATAGTTCCTGAATCAAATGAAGGCCGCCTTCTGAAATACGAAATGTGCTGTGATTGGTTAGCTGGGCCAGTGTGTGCTGTGATTGGTTAGCTGGGGGGGTATCTCCTCGTCCACCTCCAGTGTGCAGCATCCATAGTGCGCCAGAACGCCCACCACACACCAGCTTATTGGTGGAGAGGAGACAGAGTGATGAAAACAATCAGCAGATATGGGGATTGTTAGGAGGCCATGATGATCAGAGGCCAATGGGCAAATTTGGCCAGGATGCCGAGGTTACACCCCTACTCTCTTTTCAGAAAGACATCCTGGAATTTTTAATGACCACAGAGAGTCAGGACCTCGGTTTAACGTCTCATCCGAAGGACGGTGCTTGTTGACAGTATAGTGTCCCCGTCACTATACTGGGGCTTTAGGACCCACACAGACCACAGGGTGAGCACTCCCTGCTGGCCTCACTAACACCTCTTTCAGCAGCAACCCAGTTTTCCCAGGAGGTCTCCCATCCATGTACTGACCAGGGTCAGCCCTGCTTAGCTTCTGTGGGCAACCAGTCTTGGGCTACAGGGTGATATGGCTGCCGGCATGTAGATTCTAAACAGTAGCGCCAACCACCATGCAATCTCTGAAATGTGTATTGGCAGATTTACAAGTGTCTTCTGTTATGTTGATGTTAGTGTTGCATATTAAAATGCTTTCTCTTATCCAACTTTCTAGAGGATGGAGTTTCTAAGAGGAGCTCTTGCGGAAGTGTGTAAAGGACAGATGGATGAGGTCGAGCAGACGTATATGAACATTTTCATGACCATGTCAGGATTTAACAGTACTAAAATTTAATCTTAAGAAGAATTTTTTGACATCTAAAATATATGTGAATTGAAATAAGCTGCTTTACATAACTGCATAACAATGCAGGTACAAGAACAAATTCATATGCGTGTGCACATTTTTTTGGAGAAGTTCTCCTGTGTGTACAAATTTAAAATAATCCAAGCAATTATTAATGAAAGAAAACAACTGATTTTAAATGTCTCAGGGTAATATTCTCTTTTGTTTTTACGGATGAGGGACGTTTGATTTGACCAAACATTTCTGCCAATTGACAGACAAGCTTATTTCAAAATACTATAGCATTTGATGTTAACGACAAAAAAACACGGAAAATTTTTGCTCTTACTTTTAAAAGTTGAGAAACCTAGTTATTTTTGGTTGGTGACCCAACATTGTTTTGTTTTTTATTGAAAGGCTTCCAGTAGCAATTCTCCTCTTTATACGGTCTCTGGAATTAAGAATCTTTAACTCTTGTCTCTTGCAGGTTTAGTGCGGGAACAGGAAGCAGGTCTGCGGGACTTCCTGTCACACGATGGCTTTTCAGTGCTGATGAGGGGGATGCAGTCAGACAGTGAGAAACTGAGAACTAAATCAGCGTTCCTTCTGTTAAACCTTCTGACCAGTCATCCAGAACACAAAGGTAGTGCTGATTCTGGAGTCTGTGAGACCATCAAGAGTCCAGATTGGATGAGTAACTGTTTCCATCACCCTGTTTTTATGCGCATTTTGAAGTATTGCATCAGAAACGAGTGATGGAAATGCTGAATTGAAAAAAAATCCCTTAATTCACAGTTTTTATGCTCGCTTGAGGTGGTTTTTGACTTGCGCGAAAAAAGAGTCAATGTGAATAATCGGAGACGGAAACACATTTACCGAATAAATTCCTCCATGCGCATCAGAAAAGTAATGTGACTTTGAATGATGGGATGGCAAAAGCTGACTAACCAGTGGACGGATCTCGTTGTGCAGCAGCTGAAATAGTGATCGACCGATATATTCAATTAAATTCAAGTTTATTTGTATAGCGCTTTTTACGATACAAATTGTTGCAAAGCAAATTAAGTTTCCACAATATATTTAGTAGTAGCTTATCAGTGGTGACTGTCAGTTAATGTAAATATGGCAGAAATGTACGGAAAAATCAATTAAAGACATAATCAAACAGACGATGAACACTATTAACAGCAATTATTATGAGATCAAACTTATAGCAAAATTTGGTGGTTCTGTATGTTGTTTGTATATATCGGCCGATATTTGGCATTTTTCAAATTGGCATCGGCCGATAAGTTTGATTATGTCTGTTTGGCCGATTTATTCGTGGCGGGACTTTTATTTTGACGGCACTGAGAACGGCAGCGCCTGCACACACAGTACTCACATTCTCCCTCTTGTTCGCCGTCATCGTTAACAGATCTGTCCACCGACAGAAGTCTGTCTAATAATCAAATAACTGTTAAACAAAGGAATGAAAATGTATACAAAAAAAGTTATAACGATTGCTTTTATATTGTTAGTAACAGAAAGGCAAACATTGTAATACTTTTTCGTTTGCCGTCAGAATTCAGTTTGTATCCTGCACGATCGCGTGTACACTGCATGACGGTCGGTCCGTGCGAATTGAATGCGGACAGGAGGAGAGTTCAGCTTCACTAGAGACGCGCGATCAACAAGCTCGTGAATTAATATGCTGCAATTCATGCTTTTGCTTAATGTCATATTCATGTCATTTTCACTGTGTGCTGTATGTAAAATGAATGTTACCGTGGCTTTATTTGAAAAAATAGGATTCCCAATGCACACAAACTTTCCAGAATACTGAGTGCCCTGCTGGTTACAGTGTTTACTTCCTTTTTTTTTAAATGATATTTTTATTAAATATTTGTTTATTTGTGAAAATACTTTGTGATTTTTAAAGTATAAGCATGTTTATTTAACACATTTATTTTTAAATCCATTTTCAAATGATTTCTAATTTCTTAAAATATTAATTAAAATAAATAAAATTATATCGGCCACCCTGCTTTCCAAGATATCGGCATCGGCTGTCAAAAAAAACAATATTGGTCGGCCACTAATCTGAAATGTTGTTATGGTCATTCCAATTTTGCGCACAAGTTAAATTTGCAACTTTGGATGGAAACATGGAGGCGATGTGTTCGATCTTACTTTCTTTTTCAGATGCAGTGTTGTCTATGGGGATGGTTCAGCAGCTGGTGTCAGTTCTTCGCTCCCCTCATTCATCTGTACATGAACATGTGCTAGGTGCCCTCTGCTGGTTAGTAGCATTGTTGCACGATGAAAACAAAACTGCAGTATGCTGGTGCAACTACATTTTGGAGTTTGAGACTTGGTTTCTGACTGTTTTTTCAACATATATTTGTAGTCTGGTTGAGGACGCTCCCCGCGGTGTGAGCGATTGCAGAGATCCATCGCTTGGCTTGGAGGAACTGCTCAACCAGCGAGTGCAGGACCTAAGGGGGCGAGAGGAGAGCCTGGTAAACTATTGTTTTATCTGTTTCTCGTTCCTGTACTTTGTTCTTCACTTTCACATTCACGTTCAAATCTAATAAGTTAAAATCAACATTCAATGAAAATGGACCCTATTTACTTTTTCCTGGTCTTATTTTTTTGTGATTTGTAGGTGCATGTTCTTGTAAAGACACTAACTTGTTTTGCCTCTGAAGTGACTTTCTAAGCTTATGTCACCTAGGCCACACATGTAGATATGAGCAACATGGGTGGGAAAAATAATATAGATTCATAATGCAATGCTTTAGTCTGCTCTTGTAGCCAATGCAGCCTTTCTAAAATCTTACACGGTAATTAAATGTTAATTAACATTAACAGCATACAATTCTACCTCATTAATAGCAAATAATAATAGATTTGCCACTGTTCATGAGCCAGTCAGAGTTTGGTATCGTAAACTAAAACTATTAAAAACTAATTATTGTTCATTGAAATAAAATAAGTATTGGGTGAAAAACTTGAAAGAAAATTGGAAATGTGTTGCCTTGGCTACTACTAACTAAAATAAAATTACTACTAATAAAATAAAACTATTAAAAATAACGAAAGTATAATTTAATTAAAAATATAAAAAAAATTAATTCAAACTTTTAATGAAAAACTATAAGTTATGTAAATAATACTGAGCCAGTCAGTTCCCAATGAATTTAAGCATTTTCCTCCATTGTTTTATGAACCAGAGTATTCTGGTTCACATGTCACATTTTGCCAGTATAATGGGTTGCGAATGATGTTTCATTGTGATTAAATGTTTGACACATTTTCTTTCCTGCAGGAGGAGCTGGGATTTTGTGAACGTTTACGAGTGGCTTGTTTCCAAGGGCAACCCCAGGACGATAATGGAATGGACCGCTGAGGTCTTATTGGCGATTCCTGCTACGCAGTGACCCGAGTTTGAATTCCCTCTCTGTTCAAGAGAGAAATAAAAACTAGAAATATACTTTTAAAAAGAGAAAAAGTGACGTTTAACTCTGAATATGCAGAGTTCAGTTTGGCTATGTGTGCTCTTGCATACTCGTATACCATGAACTGTACAAAAACACTGTTGTGCTATATTATGAATTTGTACATTTTGTATAATATGTCAGTTTGTTATTGTAAATGATGTGCTGTTTAGGGTCAACTTGTTTATTTTTCCTCTTTACACCTGAACAGCCATACAAATGCAAAGCCATAATGTAGAACTTCCCGTCAATATAAAATATTTTGTACATTTTCAAGTAAATGTGAAAGTGTATTGATACAAGCCTCTGTCCAAGTTTAATTGGGATCTAAACAACAAAAACAAAGCATCGGTAGTGAGTTCCAAGATTCAGAAGCATAAAAACACCTGCACAAATATCTTCTGTTTCACTATTACATAATCAGTAAAAACTCATTCTGTGCTTTGAATGTAATATTTGAAGTGAAACAGCCACAATCAATTTTTGGACTTAGTATTTTAGTATTGTCCTGGGCTGCGTTTCCCAAAAGCATCATAAGCTTAAGTTCATCGTAGCTCCATTGGTTTCAATGGGTCTTCGATGTACTTAGGCTTACGATGCTTTTGCGAAACACAGCCCTGATTGATCTGTATGTTTTGAAGAATCAATTGCAGTATGTTTAACATGTAGCTGATTATAATAATGTAATGTATAAAATATACATAGTTTTGATCCCATGATAACTGTTTCAGAAGAGATTAAAATGATCAAAAAACAATTATGGTTTATTCAGGATAATTTGGACATTTTTTCCAGTCATTTCAATGCCAAACCTTTCCCAATTTACCTGAATTCACTGCTATCAAATAAGATTAAAACGTTTCCAAACATGAAAATCCTAACTATTTTTCTATTTGGTGACCTGGTTAGGTTGTTTACCTTGTGATAAAACATATCACAAAGTAAATAACATTTCAAAGGCTGCTTCGATATAGAATAAGGCCAACATAGAAGCTTCATCTATCAACACAGTTTCCACTTATTCACAAGAAGAACTTCTATTATTATTATTATTTGCTAGAATTATTAAACATATCTGAAAGCAATAAGAAAACTTCTCTAAGATTACATTTAAAAAAAAAAGCTTTAAAACAGGTGTTATAGAATTTCTCAATTTTTAAGTCCCTTTGAAGTAAATGGTCCCCCATTAAAATCTTTTTACAATACAATACACTTTTTGATGATGTCCATTAAGAAGTTACAATTTTTGACACATATCTTTTCTGGCTTTGTTTTGAAAATAAGTACTTGGGTTTTGGTTTGTTCAGCTGTAAACAGACAAAGCATCTGTCACTTTCTCAAAGCTATATCTCGTGTTTACATAAGTGTTAGCATGTATTTAAAAGGCGTATGAGGTGCAGGGTAGATGCATAACCGGACCGAGTGAACAGAGACTCCTCAGTGCTCTCGAGTTCTGTCCTCATGGATTGGCATTTGCATCTGCTTCTTTCTTTGCTTGTGGTGTTTGCTGTTGAAGGTAAGCCATATGTTCAATGTTTTAATCACTATGCTGAATAATAACTGGTTTATTTATGTGTACAAGCACTAGATATATTACCTACATTTTGTTTACTCAAAAGTTACATTTATGTAATTTTTTCACCTTGTCATCATGAACTAAACTTTGAAGAATGACTAGAATGCCCTTTTTTCATAATCGGGTCAAAACATGATTTAAAAAGCAACATAAAAGTATAGTAAAAGTGTTTAATGTGTCAAGCTGTACAATAGCTTTGTTTGAGTAACAGACCAAAATGTATTCATTATTCACTTAAAATATTGGGAAAGGAAAGGAAGGACTTTACGTGTGGCCAAGTATGGTAACCCATACTCGGAATCTGTGCTCTGGATCTACCCATCCAAGTGCACACACACAGCAGTAAACACACACCCGGAGCATTGCTGTACTTCATCCCAGGTTTGACATCAATGACAAAACATAAGAACCTATAACAATTTACATTCATTGACATCAAATCAAAAAAAGTAAATTTTTGTGTATGTATAATATATTAATTTCCATAATATCAGTATCACGATACAGTTTTAACTTCAAACGTCAAAGTGTTCATTTTATTGCTTGGTTTCGGTAAATGTGTGTGGTATTTTTTTGGATTGGGGAGGATGTTTTGGGGTCTGAAAGTCACAGTACAACAATGAGCTCTTGATAGTTGATTCCTCGTGATATTACTGCTTTAAGAGCTGTGGTTAAGGAAGAATGGTTACTATTAAAATGTTCTTGTTTTCTGTGTTTTTCCCTCTCATTTTCCATCAGCCACCACCACAAAGCACATGAAGGACTTTATCAGAGCTGTGGAGAGCATTGAAGCTGTGAATCCAGGTCTTCAGATGCTCGATGTGGTGAAAGGTCTACGTAAGGCTGCTGGCTTTGAAACCGAGCTCATCAAGCGATACCTCGGTGACCTCAGTGATGCACATGACCTTGTGGCAGAATCATCAGTCACTTCCTATGTAAGCAAGGTCATTAATCACAGCCTGTCAGAGTCTGGTAAGGAGAAAGGTGTGGTTCTCACGTTAGATGGTTCAAATGTGGCGCTGGCCCCAATGCTCCTCGGACTTGAGGCTGGGCTGCAGTCCACCGTCCAAGGCCTTTACCCTTTAACCTTGACCCACAACCTGGTCGCCTCATTTATACATCACGTCCACAATGAGCAAACCACTGTTCCTTTTGGCACTAAAGGGTTCTGGGATAGCATTTCATCCCCAAAGGTCTACACTCTTTCTGATTTGCCCTCCTTGGCCACAGACGCTCTAATAATCGGAGGTATAGACGGGTTCATTCTCGGGTCAGAAGTTTCCACGTCTAACCATTGTGAGCGATCACTGAGTGACCTGCTGAAGAGTTACTACAGCCACCAGCCTGATGCCGCAGGGTTGGACGCATCGCCCCGTCTGATCAGTCAGAAACGAAGGATGAATTTCAAAAAGATCGTCAGTTTCTCTTTGCTGAAAAGCCAGATGGTCCAGGCTCTAACAGTTCGCCGCAACTTAAACGAGTCTGAGAGGAAGAGGCTGGATGACGTTATGAATGAAGGGTTTGACCTGTTTGTTCATGTGTATGCTGGTAAGTAAACATATTTATGTTAACCATTTTATACCGATACAATTTTTTTAATCTAGTATTTTTATATTAATAGATTTCCTTAGTATAACTTATTCATACTTTTTTAATGAAATTCTAAGATGACTGTTTTATAATTTTAAACTACCAAGTAAATCAGTTTACTAAGGACCAAAGTTAACATGCAGACTGATTTATTTACATACTGTTGGTAAATGTTTTAATTATATATTGAAATAAATACATTTTCTGACTTAATATAACTATTTTTTATTTTACAATTTGTTTTGTTTTTAATTGTATATTTTAAGCTGACTTAAAGGTGCTGTATGTATTTTTTTTGGCTGTACTAAAGCAAAAACATTATGTTTGCAGATTTTTAAGAAACATGCTAAGTTCACATACAGGTGCATCTCAATAAATTAGAATGTAGTGGAAAAGTTAATTTATTTCAGTAATTCAACTCAAACTTGGAATCCCGTGGCAGAGGCAGGCCGACGACTGACCAAGGCAGAGCCAGAGGGATGAGGGAACCTCATGCCATGGTGGAGAAAAGGGCACATGAAGCCAAGGTGGAGCCGAAGGGTGGAAGGCCAAGGTGGAGTCAGGGGCTCAGTGGATGAAGGCGGAGAAAGGGGATACTCATGCAAAGGCAGAGCTGGAGATTGGAAGGCCCAAAGCGAATCAGAGCACCCAGATGGAGCTGACTGAGGATTAGCTGAGGGACTGACAGGAACCAGCAGAGGCAAGACCAAGGAACAGACAGAATCTGGAGGAGGTGGTGGGAGTGGGAGGCTGGTCTGGAACACAGGAGATTCTGAGCTAGATGCAGGAGACCTAGGTGACTTCAGGGCTGGGGGGAGCCAGTGGAAACGGGAAAAACGGGATCAAACACTTCCAGAATATCAGTTACTGTTGCAGAGGTCCGCTGCAGCGCAAACCTCAGTGGCTGGAGTGTGGGCAGGGCTTCCCTCCATGCCCTCGTACTCAACAAGTACTCCCTTGGGGATGTTGCAGGCTCACGCACCAGGTCAGGCTCCGGGGTGATGGTCGGCTCAGTTATTCGTTCTGGCACTATCATCGTTGCAGACTCTTGGTGAATTCCAAACAGGATATATCACACTTTGGAGTGAAAACAAACATGGCCACCATATTGAAGGGTCATTCCAAACCGAAGTGCATAAAACTGGCCACTTGAAATGGCCCTTCGAAAAGAAGGATTTTGAAGGGTACAACTGAAGAACACTTCAGGGCCCCATGATCCTTTGCATAGGGAAGTTGTTTGGTGGCACACTCTACGTTCCATTTGGAAGGGCTCATCCCTATGCCCTAATCCCTTCAAAGGGTTTGCTGTCCGGAGTGAGAGCTTCGAAGGGATTAGGGGGTGAGCCCTTCCGAATGGAACACAGGGTCTGTCTCTGTGTCTGCAGTGGGCTCAGGCATTAGCTCCATGCAGCATGGGTAAGGGGACTGGCTTTGCTCTGGATTTGGAGTGGGGCTGTTGAAACCCCCCTCCGCAATGCCAATGGTGAATTGTTTTCACCAGCACACGAAAGCAAAAAAATTCCCTTCAGAACCGATCATGGGCAGCCTTGTCCTGGACCGCTCACTGAGGCTAGTGTTGTCAAATATGCAGAGCAAGCAATCAGGTAATGTTGCGAGGTTAGCCAGTTCTATAAAGTCCCTTGTGTGGACCTCGAGGGAGTAATCTCCTTGCTCTAGGCCAGGGGTAGGCAAGTTCGGTCCTAGAGAGCCGCAGTCCTGCAGAGTTCAGCTCCAACCCTAATCAAACACACCTGAACAAGCTAATCAACGTCTTCAGGATTACTAAGGCTATAGGCAGGTGAGTTTTTTTTTCAGGGTTGGAGCTGAACTCTGCAGGACTGCGGCTCTCTAAGACCGAACTTGCCTACCCCTGCTCTAGGCTGAACAGCTGGCACGTCTGTGGGGGGAGGTAACTAAACAACAAAAAGAAAACGCTGCAAAATTCAAACTGTATGGGTCCTGTCTTCTGTCATGGGAAGCTGTAATATAAGTAAAGCATGAAGACAAATAAACCAAGAGAACCTTTAATGCAAAACTCACTCAGGAAAACACCTTAACAGACGTAGACAGGACAATGGAACTCATCAACACAAAGAGTGTGTGTGTATATATATATATATATACATACATAAGACCAATCAAGGAACTGAGTTAATTAATCAGAGACTAGTTAATTTTTTACCTTCCATTGTCAGTTGTGCTTGTTCCTGTTGCGTGTCCTCAATCTGCTAACCCAGATGAGTCTGAGAAGGGAGGGGAAGGGAGATACAGTTATCTCCAATATATTGAATTTGGACTTCAGTACCCATTTCAACTGCTAGCTTTCAATATTACATACTGCACCTTTAATTTTTTTGCTATATTTAACAGACATTTTATATTATTTTACTGTTAAGTAATATAATTTAAGCACTACCAAGTAGTGGTAATATTGGGTTCTCATTTTGCGTTTTTCCCACTCAAGTCTGTCCCAACATCATTACAAGGTCTCAATGGGGAGCAGCAGCTTTCATTGGTTCTCCCTCCTATCTGTCTCTCCCTGTGCCGTACCTTTTCATCCACCACACATATCAACCCTCCAAGCCTTGCACCACCTTTGATCAATGTGCCAGTGACATGCGCTCCATGCAGCACTACCACCAGCAAACCAATGGATGGTCTGACATTGGATACAGGTTAGGAAAGCCCCAATTTGGACCATAAAGCCCATTATGCAGTTTAATTTCTTATAATTATCATTATTCGTCCCCCTGTAGTTTTGTTGCAGGTTCTGATGGAAACCTGTATGAAGGCCGTGGCTGGAATTGGGTCGGTGCCCACACTTATGGGTACAACTCTAAAGGCTATGGTGTCAGCTTTATTGGAGATTATACCTCCACCCTCCCCATCAAGAGTGTGATGGACATGGTGAGGTACGACTTCACAAGCTGTGCTGTGAACGGTGGTCGATTGTCTTCATCTTACTCCTTATATGGACACAGGCAAGCTACTTCCACTGACTGCCCAGGAAACTCCTTCTACCTTGAAATCCAGACATGGGAGCGTTACCAGGTAAAAAGATAAACAAATGATTCACGGGATTTATTATACTTACTTGTTTCTGACTTGCAGAATGTATTGAATTAACAGTTCAGACCTTAACTGTGTCTTTGTGTGTTTCACTGCTTTTCTCTACAGAGTTATTTGCCTTGAGGACTGTGGCATCAACAATGAACGCAATCAGCTAATTGTGTCTCTGGAAATCAGTACATGTATTACATGTACCTGTCATAATAAATGCATAATAAATTCCTTTTGAAAATCATATCTATTGTTATTATTGTTATTATTTATTACACAGTACAAAACAAATTAATCTAGTCAAGTAGTCATTAATCAAGGCCAATTGACCGTTCGCAAAGACCCGCCCTCCTTAGTTACTGTTGCTATCCCCGACAAACAATGCCACACTCACAGTACACATCATGTTCTCACGCAGTGAAAAATACATCGCAGAGCAAAGAGGAAACTGACAACGTGCAGACAGACAATACAGAGCACGTTACTCTCAGGACTCTCAGCTTTCAAATTTTGTCAATTTTAAAGAAATTCAAACAATAAATACCGTTTTGTGGCTCTTCAATGTGTGGTGACAGATCACTGTATTGCCACAGTTCAAATACGTGAACCGATCGTATTTTCATGTTTACGTGCAGAGTTGGGTCCGAGTCCACCTTGTCGAGTCTTAGTTTTTAATCAATTTAGTTTAAGTGGGAGATGTTTATTAATGTCTTTTTATATAAATTTTATGTTGTTACTTTTTTTATAATTAAAAAAAAATAATTCTCTGAAATTTTGGATTCAAAATATCCAAGTATGAGTCTGAGTCCATCCAAGTCCAAGTTAATTCACAATTGCAGTCTGGGTCCGGGTCCGAGTCCCAAGTCCAAGTTACCCCAACTCTGACATAAAACACGAAATGAACATAAATATACATCAGAAAGTATTTTATTTCAACTGTGGAACACACCGTGTTTCAAGTTTAAGTCCACCGAAGTTAATCTACTCTCCTGTCTGAGTTGTGGTTAAGGCTAGAAGGGATACAGCTGCAGCTACTTGGCATTCGCATTCACATATATTCCAAGCCAACAATATAATGTGAAACCTATGAAAATGGTTTAATAAAGCACATGGTGCCGTAGTTTTATCACTTTACAGTGTCGCTATGATCATCTTTTTGCAGTAAAGGACCTGTCATAGTTTAATTAGAGTGGGAAGATGACATGAAGCGACGCAAGGTTAGCATTGAAAACAGATGAGCGCACATGAGCATATACAGCTCCCATTCGGGGCGAAGGTCACAGGATTTTGTCCACAGAATGATAAGAGCACACGTTTTAACATATTTTATTATTTCACACTCAGTTTTTTAACTTAAGCACTGCAAGCCATACATTCAGTGCCAGACATGACAGGTTTTCTGGTATGCAAAACAAGTACTTTAAAGGAATTCCTTAGCTTATTGCCATTACTGTGGCAGCCAACAACAGCATAGCTTAACCCTCTGCGCATATTTATATTTAGTTATATTGAAAAAGTTTCAATTCAGTCGATTTACTCCATTTTAACATGGATTTCTATGGAGACCGGCCGTAGCTGTCGGGCAAGATGGTGGATAGCTGCTACAGCACATAATATCCACTTTCTGATTGGTCAGATCGCCTGTCAATCAAGCTCTTTGCGAATGTCAATTGGCAAAATCTAATTTGCCTTTAACCGTTCGAAAGTACCTTTACAAAATGCTAATGTTCAAGTACATTATTTTGATCAGACACATCACCACCCTACTTTACTAGAGATGCACCAATAGCCGATTAATTCAGAATAATATCTGCCGGTACCAATAGTTTGATTTTCTTAAAGGGTTAGTTCACCCGAAAATGAAACTTAGCTTGTGTTTTACTCACCCTCGAGGCATCCTAGGTGTATATGACGTTCTTCTTTCAGACGAATCCAGTCGGAGTTATATTAAAAATTGTCCTGGCTATTCCAAGCTCTATCATTGCAGTCAGCGGGTGTTGCAGTTGAACAGTCCCCAAGACATCAAATATCCATAATAAAACGTGCTGCAGATGGCTCCGGGGGGTGAATAAAGGCCTCCTGTCGTGAATCCATGTGTTTTTGTAAGAACAATATCCATATTTCAAGCATAATAAACACTTTTCTCTCACTTCCGCTGACTGTCATACACTGAAGCAGTTCTGGCTGATGACGTTTGATGTCGGCGTTGCGTGATTAGTGACGAATGCGGAGAAAGAACGAAACAAAACGCCGATCACGAATTAGAAGTGCAAACCGAGGATTTGCAAAGAAAAATGTCAGAGGATTTCGATATAAACCAAGAGGAGACTGGTTTTCCTTTGCTAAAACTCCTCTTCCTTTGCTCCTATAAACAAACTCGCGAGACTAGCATATCTCAGAGGCGCGCGCTGCGCATACATGCTGCATCATCCGCCGGAACAGCTTCCGCGTATGACAGATAATGGAAGTGAGAGAAAAGTGTTTATTACGTTTGAAATATGGATATTTTTCTTACAAAAAGGCATGGATTCACTACAGAAGGCCTTTATTCACCCCGGTGAGCGGTGTGAGGCACGTTTATTATGAATGCGCGCGCTTTATTTGACGACTTGTGGGACTGTTCAACTGCAACACCTGCTTGACTGCAATGATAGAGCTTGGAATAGCCAGGACCATTTTTAATATAACTCCGCCTGGATTTGTCTGAAAGAAGAAAGTCATATAAACCTAGGATGCCTTCGAGGTATAAACACAGTCAAATTTTCATTTTTGGGTGAACTAACCCTTTAAGGAAAAAAAAAATCCATCCTAACTAATGCTGTAAAGTATACAGGGAACTATAATATTATAATATTACAGGTTATAATATTAGATTACTATAATATTACAGGTTAAAATTAACAGCAGAAATGATATTTAACTGCTATTTTCAGATATAAATATTACACTCAAAAACTGAAATGTCTGTATACAATTCATTTGCATACAAGGTAGTTTTCAACATGGTTTGTTAGACAACATTCTGTACCATAAAGCCCTTTCAACTGCATTTCATGTGCTGAGCAGAATTATTGCAATTTAATTTCTAACGTTTGAAATATGGATATTTTTCTTACAAAAAGGCATGGATTCACTACAGAAGGCCTTTATTCACCCCGGTGAGCGGTGTGAGGCACGTTTATTATGAATGCGCGCGCTTTATTTGACGACTTGTGGGACTGTTCAACTGCAACACCTGCTTGACTGCAATGATAGAGCTTGGAATAGCCAGGACCATTTTTAATATAACTCCGCCTGGATTTGTCTGAAAGAAGAAAGTCATATAAACCTAGGATGCCTTCGAGGTATAAACACAGTCAAATTTTCATTTTTGGGTGAACTAACCCTTTAAGGAAAAAAAAAATCCATCCTAACTAATGCTGTAAAGTATACAGGGAACTATAATATTATAATATTACAGGTTATAATATTAGATTACTATAATATTACAGGTTAAAATTAACAGCAGAAATGATATTTAACTGCTATTTTCAGATATAAATATTACACTCAAAAACTGAAATGTCTGTATACAATTCATTTGCATACAAGGTAGTTTTCAACATGGTTTGTTAGACAACATTCTGTACCATAAAGCCCTTTCAACTGCATTTCATGTGCTGAGCAGAATTATTGCAATTTAATTTCTAATAACTATTGTCATTTGCTAGTAATTTTGTTGCAGGTTCTGATGGAAACCTGTACGAAGGCGGAGGCTGGAATTGGGTCGGTGCCCACGCTTACGGGTACAACTCCATAAGCTATGGCGGTTTCATTGGAGATTATACCTCCACCCTCCCCATCAAGAGTGCGTTGGACATGGTGCAGTACGACTTCACAAGCTGCGCTGTGAACGGAGGCCGACTGTCCTCATATTACAACTTATATGGACACAGGCAAGCTGATTCCACAGAATGCCCAGGAAACTCCCTCTACCGTGAAATCCAGGATTGGGCTCATTGGGAGGTTAAAAAAATGGTTGATTCTTGGGATTTATTGTATTTATGAAGTTCTGACTTCTCAAAACGCTTTGTGGTAACAGTTCAGACAATAACGGTGTCTCTGTGTGTGTTTCTCTGCTTTTCTCTACAGAGCTATTTGCCTTGATGACTGTGGCATCAACAATGAACAACTAATTGAGTCTCTGGAAAACAGTACATGTATTACATCTATCACTAATAAATGGATAATAAAAATCATATTTATTGTTTATTTTTTTCACATGACATGAGAAATGAATCTTGTCAAGTAATTTAAGGCAAACTGGCAAAATCAAACTTTCCTTGAATTATTTTGGTCAAAAGAAAAGTTCCTTTACAAAATGATAGTTCAAGTACATTATTCTGATCACATCAACTATTTTTACATTGTTAGGATATAATCAGCAAATGTAGCCTAGCTAAAATGATTTTGTTTATTCACAAAACTAACCATGCTGCGGTTAAAGTTAAAACAGTGTTTTTAATCAATTCACCATAAATGCAGCTTGATTTTACTCATATATTTTTAATATTTCTAAACTTTATATTAAATAATTGCAGAGCTTTAAAAGTTCTCTAAGGCATTTTCGTGCTAAAATATGAGTAGTTACACTATTTGCGCATATTAAAGCCATCTATGTACATGACTGAACATTGCTAATGTTTAGACATATAGAACAGATGGACATATTATGATTAGCCTAGTCTATCATGCAAGTGACTGATTTTACACATTCATATAGCAGAACTAGGCCTATAACAGCTGACATTTAAAAATCGTATAAAAACATATGTTATGTATAAATACTACATTTTTACATAAAAATATGTTCTATTTTACAGTTGTATATGTTTAATGTGTATTTAAAATGATTAAATTATTATACAGTTTTGAACTGTAGCATTTTACATTCTTTTTAGTCATAAAATTAATGCCATTTTGTCATCCACGGGCTTTCTGTACTGAAGTAGTCCGCGCTCCGCACCGCGCACGCAACAACGCCGCTGTTAGCGCACTGATCAGGTTGTCGTTCATCTCTCAACCTGCTGTGAAAGAGTTACAGCGTGGCTGATACACAAACTCCTTTCCCCTCCCCACCAACGTCACCATCCCTCCGAAACTAACAACATGGAGTCCGGTGTTTAGAGTGCAAAAGGCGGTCTTCAGCGTTTGCTAAACCTACATGCTTTTCCCGGTGCTCCTGAGGGAAGG